TTGAGAGATATTATTTGATTTTTTGTTTTTACCTAAGAGAATATTAATTAACTTCCAACTATGTTTCATATCTTTCGATTGTGCGCAGTTCTCAAATTTGTTACAGAAAAATGCTGTTTTAGCTTTAGTTAGTTCTGAATTGACTTTGTTACGTATTTCTTTGAATTTCTCCCAGTGAATCTGGGAATTATTTTTAACAGCCATTTTCTTGTAAGAGTCCCTAACCCTCATCAGATTTTTGATATCAGGGGAAATCCAAGGAATAGAATTTCCTCTAAGTCTCATCAGTCTTAGGGGCGCATGCCAATCAAGGACGTGTAGGAAAAGGGATCTCCATACCCGCCAACAAACATTTGTGTAAAGTTTGTACAACAAAGTGTAAAGTTTGGCTAGAATCCTGGTCATACTGACTCTGTTAAAGAAGGTACTATATTTATGGACTTGTTAGTTCTGTTTGGCGTTTTTAATCAAGTTCTGAAATGCCTTGAGTATGGGAACAACATGACTGATCACTGATGACTTCCCATGTTGACATGGAAAAGAAGAATAGCTACTCGCATTACATTGTCCTGCAATGATAGCATAGAGTGTGAATGGAAATACTGCTTCTATACTTCACAAAAACAAGGGCCATCATATGAAGTTAATATGAGAGCAGTCCTTGACCTCCTGGCATTCAGAGAAATTGGTCGAGACCATAATACTATGGTAATATTCACCAAAGTCATGAACATGTCATCACGGCATCACCACAAACCCGCCGGAACTTTACAAAAATGCTGAACAAAAAGATGCTGGCTGTTGTGAAACAGTTAGCAAATGACAGCAAATTATTCCATAGCTAAACAATGCCATGATTGTTAAAGAGGCTTGTAGAAATGACAAAGGCGAATGTGGAATTTCCCTTTATGGAACTTGGCAAAGACGAGGCCATGTGTCGCACGATGGTGTTGTTTATGCCATCTCATTAGATACCAAGAAATGCCTGAATGTTGAAATACTCTCAGATAAATGTCAGAAATGGCAAAAGAAAGAAAACAACCCAAAATATCAACAGTGGAATACTAGTCACTACTGTAAGATCAACCACGCTAGACGTGCCAATAGTATATGATGAATAACAAATTAAATTCTTGCCAAAAAAGCAGAGAAACAATTAAAAGTAGGTGTTGTGTATGAAGCAGGGGGCTTCTGAAGCTTTATAAAGTACATTAACAGTAAACAAAACTTTTAAATTTAGATTTTCTCTTTTTGGCAATTTGACCTGTGGCAGCAATTTTTGTGACACTGTAATTTTGTAAATATACAGGGTGAATAAAAAAAAACGCAACCTCGGAATTTCCCATGAAATCGACATTGTTTTAAAGACAAAAGATTTTACGGGCCTGAGAATTTAAAATAGCACAACTGTCAAAATCACTGCACAGGCGAGCGCATAAAGCAAAATTTATGCATTTATTTAGTGCACAACAACAGTAATATGATCTATTAGCAATTCGATTTCAATTCCCAGGTGCCTAGAATCTTTTATGCTTAAGAATTGCAAAGTGATTTCTTAGGAAATTCCGAGGCTGCGTTTTTTTTATACACCCTGTATAATGTAGAAGATTGATATTTGGCATAGTTACTTGCTACAACATGATCTAGTGCCTGACACTCTTCAAATTTCAATATTTTTCATCATTGATGAATTATTCACAAATTGCATCATAAAGTACTCGATTAAAAGTTGCAACAATTAAAAAATTGAACATTTCGTTCAAAAAATTTTTTAAAAAGAATTTTGAAGAAAATTGGAGATTGTCAGGCACTAGCTTATGTTCTAAGCTTTTTAAAAATATATCTCTCATTACATTTTGATAATTGGTTCTTGAGTTATGATGTTTATGACACTAAGCAATTATGGGCTAATTAACTGCCGCCATATTGGATAATTAGTGTAATTAATGACTTTTTCAAAATTTTTTTGCATTAGTCATTTTCCTTCACCTCACCCTTTCAAAAAATGATATTTGCCCATTAATATCTTTAAAATTGAAAAAAAAGGTTGAAAGGGGTAGAACCACCAGCATTACGGCAACAATATCTACCAACCTCCATCTCTCAAAGCTTGAATTTTACGATTTTATCAAAGTTTTGCCCACCAGAAGTCCAAAGCTTCGAACCCGCGTCTCTCAAACATTTTCCACTACAGTTAACTGTCCAAAACGGTGGGAAAAGAGCTTGATGTACATTGTTGGCATTTTTTTAAATAAACGTCTTTTGCGATTAAACTTGCTGTTTTCCTTTCTTATATTAGTCAAAACTCAATATTAAAAATCCAGCAATAACCAGTTTTTAAAAAACTTTGCCGCTTGTGGCAGAGTGGTCAAAACAAAAAAAGAGCCTGGTCACAGAGTAGATATAGTCCGTCTGTTGTGACCTCGAAAAGCGCCTAGAAAACGATTTTCATTAAGCATGTCTTAGATCTGAAATATTTTTACGGGAACTAACACTTTCGAACACGCTGAGTTCAAATCCGAAAAGTTCCTACTCCGTAGACCGACAGACAGTTTTCTCACAAAATGCTATTTTGTCTTCACTCATTTCACAGCAATTTTTTTCATTGTTCGACGACACGGATCGATTATGACGATACACGATTATGTCACTCAAAAGGACAAATTTCTGTTAACTATTCTTCCTTTTAACAAAAGATCGGTTTTGCTCGAATCATCAGTTTTGAGTTATGCAATCTTATGCGTCGCTGAGTTTAAATCTAAAATATCTTAATATTTCTTTTACATTAGTTTCTTTGCATGTGTAGTTTGTTACTTTTGTAAATAGTTTGATACCTTTTTATTAGTAATTAGTCTACTAGTCTATACTAGTAGACTAATTACTCCGCCTGCGCATGCGCAGTGCAGAGTCTAAAAATGCCTGAGTCTGTTGTCGGTTGTCGTCAGTGCCACAAACAGGCTCCTTGATAAATGTGTACATTCCATGATATTTAGATACTTTCTATTGACATTTGTGGATAATGTTATACGATTTGGCAGCGCAATGCGCATGTTTACAGCTCTGCTTACAGTATTTTTCTAAACTGCGAACTGCGAAACGTCTTGTGCGATGAAAAATACTAAACGATGAAAAATACTAAAAAGATGAATGTCAAGACAAAGCTTCCAGACTCAACTGAGGTAAGGGATACTAAACATTCTAATTTTGGTAGTACATGCTGCATTTTGGCAACAAGAAATTCTTTAAAGTCATAAATATAAATAAAAATATTCACTCCTACTGTATGTCGTAATGTCGATCTTATATAATTCTTGACAAGCAAAATATATTCTTGTGTGAAAGGTCCCTACAATGTTCTGAAGAGTTAGGCTATGTAGTGTTGAGGCTATCGGGTTATTAAATATATTTCAATGTTTTGAAGAGTTTAGGAAATGTAGTATTGAAGCTGTCGTGTTTATAATTTACTATACACGTTTAGTACGCAACTACCGGAAACGGCAGCCATGTGGTAGTATTAAGTGAAGAAACGTCAGCTTCTTGAACTCACAGCTAGCTTGGGTTTGCTTGCTTTGCTCTTTCTACTGCCCTTGTATGTTAATAGATACTATGTGTTGTGTAATGTATTTAATTCAACCCTACTAGGACTCTGGGCAGAATACCTACCAAGCCACTCAAACATGCTTTTTGGGCCTCTATTATTACAATGATGGGCCAAACAGAATTGGTGTGTCAGAATTAATATCCTATTTCTGTCTCTTATAGGTTATGGCACTTTCTTATGAAAATTCAATGTAAAGTTTGGACATTAGGACGTCAGTTTCAGGCTCCTTGCACGCCATCACAGCCAGTTTAGACGTCAGCTTCAGCGGTTCAGCCCCCCTACGCACGCGTTAATTAAGACGTGTAGTGGCGTCAGCATTAGCCAAACGTCACCACTTCGGCTTATATTTGGCTTCACTTTTCCGTCGCACCCTACATTGTCCCCATTTTCTCCGCAGGCCGGCAGGCGGAGTGAACGCCTGAGTAGGCGTCTTGTTACTAATAAAAAGGTATGAAGAGCACATAACATAACCTGTGAAATGGACCTCGTATTTTAAATAAAGATGTCAATCAATCAATCAATCAATCAGTGCGTGTTGGACGTAAACAACATATCTTGTCTACAACTTTACGGAATTATTGCTTAAACAAGAATAACTGTATAGGGAGCCACCTTAAGGCCCGTTTACACGGGCGATTTTTATCGCGATTTTTATGGCGATTTGGATGGCGATTTTTTTAGCGATTTTAAATCGCACGTGTAAACTACCGGCAATTTCATGGCGACGTCAGTGCGAATTGTCGCAGAGAAATCGCCACTAATTCGGTTTTGCTCGAATTTAAGCGCGATTTCATTACAAATTTCTTTTAAAAAATGGCGGAAAAAAAGCTGGAGGTTCAATAAAGAAAACAATATGGTCTGCAGACGAAGAGGAGCTACTTATAAGTTGCTGGTCAGAGAATGAATGTCTATTCAAGACTAGTTGTGCTGACTATAAACGATAAGACAAGAAAAGCCTTGCCAGAGAGGCCATAATTAAGGCTTTGGAAAATGAATATGGCAGCACATTTGCAGGTAAGAATTCAATTTATCTGTGCATGTTTGATTCGTTTGTTTTTTATGTGATATTTATTATATTATCTACGTTTTATTTGTCCGTATATCTATTGTTTTTTTTCCACCAAAATACTACAGTACCCCAATGTTTAAATTCAAAAATATTTTGCCTTTGGGGCTTTGCGTTTGGTCAAGAAATATTTAATTGACTTAAGGGACCGCTCATTATTTATTGTACAGGGGGGAGGGGACTGAGGAGAAACTCTACAGTTATAATATTTTTTCGTTGCCCCCCTCTTACGACAAGTAGAATTTTCAAGACCCCCTCCAACAGGTAAAACAAGAACATAAATTTTGGAGCCCCCCCCCCGACTCTAGCTCTTTATTTAGAAAATAGAAAAGCCTAAATAGAAAAGATATGTAAAAAGAACCTCGTAGCAGTTCTGCCAGATCTTAAAGTTATGTTTACCAAGGGACTGTTATTGTCTGCCAACTCTTCTTCTGCATCGTTCCCCGGAAAATCAGGAACTGAATGTTCCGAATCTGAGTCAGAAATTATGTTCAGAACAAAAGTATTTTCGTCACATTCATCACTGTCTTCACCACCACTGAGTACATCATCTGCCCGCTCATTTTCACTCTCTTCGCCATCTGCGTTGTTCTCGTTGTTCCTCTCGAAGTTGTAGACGTCATCATCAATCATTTCATCTCCAATGTGTATATAAACGTGTCGCTTAATTGTATCTAGTTTCACATTCTTCTTTCCTTTCAGTTGCAGGTTGTGCTTCCTGAGGTATTTGTTTAGTTCTGGGACTGTCGAATCCGAAATGTGACCTGTTTCAACAAGCTCCTTCCATGCGTTATAATCTGTGTACTTTTTTCGTTTCTTTGCCTCTTTCAACTTCTATCGTTCATTCATTTTGATTAATCTAACTCTCTCCATATTATTAAGGTGCTGCAGATATTGTCGGACTAATTCTACCGCGACGCAGTATTTTTCCGAAAAAGTGCGTAACGACTCTTCATCCTCCAGCTTTAAAGCACCAGAATTGTGCTCTTTCTTAATTTGTGTTCGGGGTTAAGTTGAAAGTCATCCGGTGGACGAGGAATGTTGTCAATTTTGGTGGGAATAGCAAACACATCAGCATAGTGTGCACTACCAGGGACAGGATATGGCCGTGGAACATGCGTCATGTGTTCACTTAATCAAGGATTTTCCTCACACCATTTGCAAAGCTCGCCTGTTTTGGCCATACAACTTCCTTTCAAGAACTCAGTTCGCCAGTCTGATAGTGCATATCGTAAAACTCCTTCCCAGTCTCCATGTATCCATGTCCAGGTACTGACGTTTTTTCTTCAGACTGAGCATTTAGGTACTGTTTAAGGTTATCCTTATTGAAGAAGTACTGTTTATCTTCTGGTTTTGTTAAATGAGCCTTAACAAACTCTTTCAACACAGGGGCGTCATCAAGCCGGATTTTGACATTAACAGCAACTTTCCAAGCATTTTTCTTCATCCGAGCTTCTTCGTGCTCTGTGTATTCTTTCAAAGATAAATTCTGCACCTGCTCATCCGTCAGATCATGGAACTGTTCATAATATTCCCATTCTATTGTTCCTCCATCTGCAATAGCATCTCCCAAAGCACTGTTAGTTCGTTCAGCCTCATTTTGACAGCTGTCGCGCCTATCTCGGTGACATCGACATCGCCAGTCAGATCCCAGGAACATGGCCATTTCTGCATCATGAACACGTACATCACCATTGGAAACTGCCACTCCTGGGCCAGCATCGGTTAAGTCTAGCCATCGCGGTTTTATTATAGGGAGCTTAAGTTCAGAAATTTGTGAAAGTAACTGCTTAACATTCGATAGCAATGACTCGTAGGCCTCTTTAAAAACTCTTTTTCAACATCAGTTTGAAGCACGATGATCAGCTGCCTCGTTTTGTCAGTTATGCTCACTACTGAAGGAACAAACCGCGACGTGGCAAGGTTTCGTTCTGCATTGCAGAGTGTACAGTTTTCAAAAAACAGAAGAGATTTTGTTATATGTTCGACAAGGTGTTTCAAACGCACTTCCTCATAAGCCGCAAACTTACATTCGGTTGTCAATCCTGAGACACAGTTCAAGTCTTCAGCAGTTGTCTTGTGCTTGAATTGCTGGAGGTAATTTTTAATAGCATGGAAGAACTTCCTTAAGCTTGTTGAATAAGTGGGGTGATTATTGATGTCAGAGTTGTCAACCTCATAATCATTTGGATACATGGCTATAAGGTCCATAGTTTCACTGGCCCAAGTTGTTCCTAAGCTACCAACATAAGCTTTGGCCGTACAAAAACTGAATGAGAGTCTCCGTTACTGACAATCTTCTCTTCCATATTGTCAATTGTTTCAGAACGAAGCTAAAAGAATTCTGTGTGTAGCGGGTGTGATGTATACCTTGCTTTCTGGGAAGTCATATTTAGGTAGCTTCCTTGACCTTTCTTCAGCAGATGGCGTCAGTATCCGGCGCTTTCGTTGACCACTAAATCCTTCTGAGGTCCCAGGTCGTAGATAAGCCTTGTCATCTGAACTTTTAACTAGGGAAAATTTGCACTGGTCTCCAACCCCACTTGAAAACAGAAACCGTTTAATGTTTTTCACGTGAGACCTTTGGTGATGAGTACATTCATTTTGATTATCCTCAGCCTTTGGCGGTTTTTTAAAACAAAATAAGCCTTTTCCCTTGTGTCTCTTAGCCTGTATTGATCTCTTGTTTGCTGGACGTGCTCTGTTGTATGCCGTTGTAGCGGACTTTATTAATTTCTTTCCTTCTTGTATATGCTTGAAATTGACCACGTTTAGTAAATCTCTTGCCTTTTCTCTTTGATTTGTGTACATCACAGTTTCGTACAGTCTTCCGTGATATGATGCCTTTTCTTCAATACACTGGGCCATAAACTCTTCATTACTTTCCGTTATTTTTTCTTTTGAGCCTTGGTTTGACAATGTTCGTCTTTTTATTCGATTTCCATTGATGAGTTGATCTGCCTGTCGCTTTGCCACTTGATTTACCTCTTGTTTTTCGTAACTGGATTGAGTAAACTTTGCATACCATCAATTCTTTCCTCAATAGCTTTAATTTCTTCCTGTACATCCCCTAGTCGGGCGGGGTGTCCAAACTGAACTTTTTGCGAGTAATATGCGCTCTTTGAATGACTTTTCTTCTTGAAGTTGCTGTATTTTGGAGACTAACCTTTGCTTCACAATGTCCAGACTAGCTTTATGAGCATTAGAACATTCAGCTGCCGACGAAAGTACGGATGTTGTGATATCATTAATTTTCCTTGGGTCAATCCCTAATTCTTCCAGTTCTTTCCACGACTTGCATGCACCTGCGGCTGCTTTCAGCAGTTTTCTGTCGTATTCTGTGTTAGCGCTCTGAAGGATCATTTGGAAGCCTTCTTCTGTAAGTTCAAGTCCCTCCCTTTTTGGTATAATTGTGCTTTGATTAATATCTTGTAAGAAAGAGGTTAAATCAACATTGTCTGGCCTGGCTAAAACAAAAGTCTTATTTTGAGTTTGCGAATACCAAACAAAGACACACAAACCAAATTTTAGCCGGTGTTCCAGTGTAGTGGACTGGAACACAGGCTAACCAAATTTTTGATTTTTAAGGAGAGCTAGCTAGGAGGAATTGTCGCTTTACGTTTCGATCAAGTGAGTTTACTGTGTGATTTCGTTGGTATCCAAGAAATATCTCTAGCGCACTATCGAATAGCATAAATGAACTCTCTTGTTCAGTTCCATTGTCACAAATTTCACCAGCCAGGAGAAAAGGTAAAACAGCTGCCAGTCCATTTATTTTATCCTTCTTGTGACTGCTGTTTGCGTTCTTTAAACAACTTTTCAGTACATCTAAATTTTGATTTAACAAGCATGGCTGTAGCGATTTCAGCACGTTAGGTGACACTCTTGCTTTCGTAATAGTCTCTTCTCTCCATTCGTTTTTACGCAAATTTTCACTTTTTCTTGGTCTTCCCCCTCTTGTCACTTTTATATTATTTTCACCACTGTCAATATCCATGACTCCACGTGGACACAATTTAATTTTGCATAATTCATTGCGGTCGAGCCTTGAAAACACTAGGTCTGCGGCATCTCATTTTCAGTACATCCAGTTGTCCAATCATGTTGGTTCCACATTGAACAAATGATTAAATCAAGATGACGGAAAGCGAAATTTGCATAACAAATAGCTCTACGGGATCTACCGAAGTTAAAAATTGGCTGTCAAGCATAAATCTTCAAGAATATAACAACTACGTCGAAGAAGAAGGTTATGACCAAATGGAAGTACTGTATAAACGTAATGAGAAGGAGCTTGACGAGCTTTTGGACAATGCACGAATAAGGAAGAAAGGGCATCGTCACCTTTTCAGGCAGCAATTGCAGTCTTATAAAGAGAGTATAGAGACCAAAACACTGAGCCCAGATGGTGGCAGAATAAATGCGCAAGCAAACAGGTGGAAAATTTGTCGTCGCTGACCAAAAAAACGCGGGCAGAAACAAAGCTCATTGCATTTACATTGAAAACAAAGCAGAAAGTTAGCAAGAAGCTGTTTTAGCTGACAATTTTTTGCTTTCCATTCAACGATTTACAAATTAACGGTTATTCTTTTAAAAGTCGACTATGAATTATTTGTTTTGGGATGATTTGTTTTGTAATCGAGTGATTGGAAGAAGTTAATATGGCGACGTGAACATGGGAGTAAATATGAGAATGAAATGTAAGTTGAAATTAACTTTATATGCCTCAAATTTTCTATCCTATGTTTAACAAATATAAAACATTTTCCGTGTTGATATATCAACACGAGTGGAATTGGGAAATTCCGTGGCCTCACGATAAAACTTTCTAAAAATGTTCTCTGTTTCATGTATTTTTATTTGATATCTTAGGTATAAGCGTAAAAATAGGGGCTCATACAATTTACGAGGTTGTAAAATGCATGACTTGCCTCTATTTTCATGTAAACATTTTTATACAATTTCGAGTTTTCCCAACTTCCACGAGTGTTGATATACAACTATATATATATATATATATTTTTGTACTTGATGAGATTCAAAATTTGTTGTATATTCAAGCCCGGCTTTAGTGTAATTTTGGTGATGACCGGACAGAAATAAGGGTATTTTAAAAACTGGCCGTGGCCTCACGATAAAACTTTCTAAAAATGTTCTCTGTTTCATGTATTTTTATTTGATATCTTAGGTATAAGCGTAAAAATAGGGGCTCATACAATTTACGAGGTTGTAAAATGCATGACTTGCCTCTATTTTCATGTAAACATTCGAAATTTTTCGACAGCAAAGTAGCAACTGTTTCAGATCGAATGCACACGGACAGCCCACCAGAGACAATGGCAACTGAAATAGAACGTCACTAAAAAATTCTGTATGATTAATTTAGATCATGTCCATTTTCAACATAAAACAGTAATTTATTTTGTACAAACATTTGGCAATATTTACACGATTGTGCCTTTTTGTAAACACGCGTTGCGTGTATTCCACTCAATTGCGTGACTCATTTTGCTCGCGCATGCTCACACAAATTTCCCACCTGTTGCGCAAGCAGCGTCTACTTTTCGTCAAACAAGTACGTATCATTTGCGATATCTATTATATTTAAATTTTAATACTTGAGCTCGTGTATTAAATTTACTATTGTTTTTATGCACACATGTATTCTACACTCGTGTAATCTACAATCTAACCCAGTATTTAATTGTTAAATATATGTTCATAGGCTGCTCTACATATTATTTTATACTTTTCTTTATATTATTAAAATATGATATTTTGTACATTTCTAGAACTTGGTTCTAGTTCCAGTTTCTACCTCAATGTTTGCAAAGACAAAGCAGTCAGAGATTTGCCAAAATGGCATGCGTTCATTCTACCAAATCCGCATACCAAACGGTTGACATACTTCAACAGTATTGTGGAAGAAATTTACAACTCCGCATATCAGCACCTTGGCTCAGGTTTTGACAAGTACTTGGCCCAGCAGCAACAATTTCGATGGAGTTTACACCAAGATTTAACTGCCATATCTATGACTGTGAAGTCATATGAAAATGGGAAGGATGGGGTTTCCCAAAACATAATCCGGTACCAAGGGATGCCATCAGATGTCAAGGATTCTGATGTTCATCGATCAGAAGCAACACTGCAAATATTAAGGGGTTCCGAGTCCAAAATAAGTGTACTTCTAGCAAAGCTTCGTGAAAGGAAGGAACATCTATATGAGCCTACAAATGAACTCTATCTATGGGCTAGAAGTGAACTAAAGTGTATTGATGATTCACAAGAAATACTTTGCCAAGAATCAGACAAAGTAGTGCATTGGGAAAATGAAGTATCACATACAGCAAGGCTGATAAAAAAAACGGTTTTCCAAAATAGATTCTGATGTTACAGAAAAAAAAGTCACGCTAAGCGCCGCAAAGAGCAAAAAAAGAAAGGCAAGAAAAAACAACGACAATCTACTGCAAAACTTGCTTATAAACTTGTGAGGGATTCTCACGGAAAGGAAATTGCAGATGAAGTTATAAAGGTGGAGAATGGGAAATTTCTGTATGGTGCAAAATCAGAAAAAAAGCTTCAATCAAAGAAACTAGGAACACTTAATTTAAAACTTAGGTTTCACTTGGCAGCCCTACAATACCTAAAAGAGATTGATGCAATCAATGGGAATGAACTGCCTGAGGTGGATAATTACATAAGCATTTTGCTTGCTAGAAAAGCAGCTGCCAAGGTGAAAGAAAACAAAAGCTAACCATCTTCTCAGTCAAAGTCACAAAACCCACTCATAACCCAATTCTTGTCAGTTGCGTCTGGAACTGAAAAGAGTGCAGAGGAAGATGCAAGCACATCTGCAATGGATATACACGAGGATGATTCTAATGATTGATATTGACCACTTTCTTAATGACTTTGACACTGACCACTTTCTTAATTAAATCAATTATTCAATGTACATATACACCTTATTCATGAATGGATGCCAAATCAATATTCTTTCATTTGCATGTAAATTTGGCCCTCATTTAATAATACTTCATTTTAGAGAAACAAAAATAGACCAATTTTATACATGAACATATTAAGAGACTACTTATTTGGCTTCCATTTATGAATATTAATATTAAAGGTCTATCAATATTGTTTATATTTGTTGTTTTGTGATACATGTTTAAAACTTCTAATGTTTTTTCAAACTAGTAAACATTTTCAAAGCCCCCCCCCCTCTTTCATCTCTCTGTATTTTTTCAAAGCCCCCTATTTTTTATAGTCTAACATTATAAACAACTTCACTCCATTATAGACTTTCACTGGATGGAGGCAGTATTGGGCTGAAATATAGCCCCTTCAGTGAGAGATTATATGCAAGAAAAGGCCCTGTAAATTGTGAAAAACATTGAAATATGCAGAGGAATAATGTATCCCATAGTATTCTATTTCCTACCTCGCAAGTAGCTTTATATTTAATGTCTATAGTAATAGAACCTTCCACTGCCAAGGAACTTGGCCAGGACCATTAACATACTCAGAGAGGAGATCCCTAACCTGGCTAGCATTTCTCGTGTGATTCATACCAGGTGCTATACAAGAGTTTCCAAATTAGTTTCCCCATTTTGCCGCCACTCGCCACCAATGACTTCACCATCTTTCTCATAATCCTGAGGGAATATAAACTGATGGATTCTTCTTGATTAGAAAATTGTGCAATACAAGACATGCATGAACAATGGAGATTGCATTTTCAGGTTTTACACAAAGTGTGGTATGGAATACTCGAAATTTCGAAGCAAGAATACCAAATGCATTTTCGCTTACTCTCCTGGCACGAGAAAGTCGATAATTGAAAATTCTCAGCTCTTCTTTCAATCCTCTATTTGGATATGGTTTCATGACGTTTGGAGTTAATTAAGCTGAATGCATCATCTCCCACGTAATGTGGTAAAATTGGGCACCAATCTTCTAGTATCATTGACTGAGTCACTGGAATGGTTTAGATTCAGGGATCTGGAGCTTGTGAGATTGCAGGACTTTGTAGAATACTGTGTTTCGCAAAACACTTCAATCGCTAATACGACCTTGACACCCAACATCAGCGAAAATGAACTCAGAGTTTGGACCCACCACTGCCATGAGCACCAGGCTGAAGTAACTTTTTATTTGAAGTTGTAGTCCGAACCACTATGAGGAGGATATAGGATCCTGACATGTTTGCCATCTATTGCCCCCAGACAATTTGGTTTCTGCCACCACCACTGGAAACAATTACTTATTTCCAAACCATTCATTATTTAGCTGCGTTTGGGCATGAAATGACATCACAAAGTACAACAGAAAGTGCTTTGGAAACTTTTGGAATAATCAGAGATAAGGTTCATTTGTTAATGCGGAACTGGTACTGCAAACTGGTGTAGGACTCCCCCGTTGCCAAAAAACGAAGTGTTACTGCAAGCTGTTCACTAGGTGTTATAGCATCTCTCATACAAGTGTTTTTTTTTTCAAGATGGGATTTAATTTCTCTACCAACTGCTCAAAAGTGGCAAGGTCCAACCGTAGATAGTTCAAAAAGTGTTCAGGATCACTCGTAAGATCTTTTAGCAAACAGTGGAACGCTCCCTGCGTTTCTCTGGTGGCAATCCAACTCTTTATCCACACAGCTCTTCCCCTTCTCTTCTTTTTTTTGTCTGCGAGCAACAAGGACGGCAGCAATGCTTAAAGTTACAGCCTCTAATAATTCATCCGTTTCTTCCATGTTTCACTCATACTTGAACCTCACTAAATTTCATTAAACTCACATTTCAAACTGTATACGTAATTGTATTTTAAAATTTTTGTAATATTTGTTGACATCGGTCATTTATTTTGGTTTGCTTTAAAGTTCACATACGCGCATGCCTGCCCACTACCAAAAACTTGCATGAAGTTGCGATTGAATTGCCGTAAAGTCGCCATGAAATTGCCGGTAATTTACACGTGCGATTTAAAATCGCTAAAAAAATCGCCATCCAAATCGTAATAAAAATCGCCATAAAAATTGCCCGTGTAAACGGGCCTTTAATATTACAATTACTTAAGATTCTCTTGATTGGTTCTGTGACACCTTGAATGTTTGGAACTATTGCATAACCCTTAACAGAGGTATCACCCCGGATTTTGGTTCCTACAAACAGGTGATCTCAGGCAATCATTAAGAAAACGTTTTGGGCAATCGTTTCCCTCTAAAATACTTAGAACATATTCACGTTCATTAGCTTGAGAATCACTGTTTGTCGGCAGGAATTCAGCTCTTTGAAGCAAACTTTTTGCTACGGATCTTTTATGGCTTACTGGGTGATGAGAGTCGTATGACAAATATTTGTCTGTGTGTGGGTTTGCGATAAACATCAGTCTCTAACTTCCATTCGATGATGTCATCTCTGCAGTTTCTAGAAATGAAATCGATATTCTGCTGCAACATTTAAATTCTGTTGAGCCGTCCATCCAATTCACAATAGAACGTGAAATAAATGGACATTTAGCTTTTTTAGATTTGAATGTGCACAGAACTGTCGAAGGGAAGTTAGAGACTAATGTTTATCGCAAACCCACACACACAGACAAATATTTGTCGTACGACTCTCATCACCAGTAAGCCATAAGCAAAAACTTTGCTTCAAAGAGCTGAATCCTTGCCGTCAAACAGTGATTCTCAAGCTAATGAACGTGAATATTATTATTATGTTTTAGGGGGAAACGAACAGTATTCAGTGGCTAGCTAGCCATGGCAACTGGTCATATACGGTCCTGATAAAGGCATCATTTGAATAATGCAAATAATTAAAAATTTGCATAGCATGACTTGTTGCTATGGCTAGCTTTGCCACAGACAGTATTATAATTATATGTACAAAAGCAAGAAATTATAAGCATTGAAGGTATTCATATAATAAAACCGCCCATGCCGGGCCATGCCAAGAAAGTAGAAGCAGAATATTTAGCTGACCTTTAACTTTGTGCAAGGTGTTTGATATTCAAATTGCACTTTTCCTACCTCATGAACAGCTGGGCGTCTTAGGGGTGTTTACATTTTGGAAGGCAGGGTGA